GGCGGCAGTCGTGCCGGGACAGGCTGTGCCCAGCCGGGTGCGTTCTCCTGCCCCCGCCCCGTGCTGCAGAGGGGCATGGGGAAGCCTCCACCCCCCCGGGGGCACCAACAAAGTTCCCCCGGCACACCAGATGGACAGCAGGGCAGGGTGAAATGATGCCTTTATTGCTTCCACCACAAACCAGGTCCTGCTGGCAATGTTGGAGCAAGGAGAAGGGCTAGGCTGTGCCCAGCGCCTGCCCCTCCAAGCCCCCTGTGCCTGGGCAGGGAGTCCCCCCACCTCTTGGCTTCTTCCAGTACCACCTCGACCCCTCGCTCAGCTGTGTTGTCCAAAGGGGCTTCTACAGGCTCTCCTCTGGAGCAGGTCCCTGTATAGGAATAAAGCCGTCCCTGCCCAGGACAGCATCTCTACTCCTGGCCCCAGGTGACCAACTGTAAGCTCACTCCAGCCACTTCAGCCCATTCCATCGCTGAGGCCAATCCTGCTTGGACCCCTGCGGCCCCTGGCTGAGGCACCCATGGGCACCCCTCCTGCGCTGCAGTGGACACGCTCACCTGAGCCCTGCCCCTCCACGGCAGAGCCCCTGCCCTCACCAAGGCTGTGCCCAGCCCTGCCCGCCCCGCAGCCATGCCCAGCCAGTCCCAGCTCGGGCATTCACGTGCCAGCAGCTGCCCCAGGGGGCCGGGGCGGCCGGCTGCCCTCCTCAGCCCCCGCCTCTATCAGTTGATGCAGGAGCCCCCCAGCCCTGCCCCGGCGGCAGCAGCGGGGGGCCGGGGGGCTGCCCCGCAGGGCACCCAGCAGACCAGGCAGCTGCCGGGGCAGGCGGTAGGTGGGCAGGGGCCGGAGGGGCCGAGGCACGTCACGGGGGCTGCAGAGCCGGCTGAAGTAGGCCAGGACCCACCCACCGCCGCAGCCTGTCGCACCCAGCTCCCCGTGCAGGCAGGCCATGGCTGCCCCAAAGATGTCGTGGGCATCCCCAGGCATCCCACTGGCCACCCCGACCTGCCACCGACGAAAGAGCCGGGCACTGCCCCGGCTCCAGAGGAGTAGGACGGTGCCACGCTGGCGGCCCACACGGCCCCGCTGGGCATAGAGCCAGGGCAGGGTGCCTGCCTGCCCCAAGCCACCTGCTTCCCACAGGTCCAGGCGCACGTCGCAGCCCAGCCCCGCGCGCAGCCGCTCAGCCAGGGCGCACACCAGCCCCAGGTGCTCCTCCGAGTCCGGTGAGTACAGCAGCAGCACAGGGCGCCCGCCCGGGACACCTACAGAATGGAGGGGACAGCAGTGACAGCCCAGCCCCACATCCCACTGATATCCCCTGGAGGAAACCCTGGTATCCACCACCATCCACTGCTCCAGGACCATCTGCAGCCCAGGAGCCAGCACACCCTGACAATCCAGCCTCATGACCATCATGGCTGCTGGCCCCATCCTGCAGGCCCCCAAGGTGCCCCTTACCATTGTCTGGCCTCCAGGCACTGCAGCAGTTGAGGAGCAGCACGGTCACGACCAGCCCCAGTGCCAGCACCAGCCCCAGCAGCCCAAAGTGCCTGTGAGAGACTGGGAGAGGGGCAGTAAGGGGGGCGTCTGCCCATCTCTGCTGCCCCCTGTGTCCCCCCAGGACCTCCTCTCACCATCGGGACAGAGCAGCTGCTTCCGAGAGAAGTGCACGTCCGAGCGCCACACCTGAGGGAGGAGCTGGGTGAGGGGGGGGCCGTGTTGGGATGTCCCCGATGGAGCAGGTGCAAGCACAGGGGTCACCTTACCAGCACACAGCTGCCCAGGACCTGCGCTGGCAGTAGCAGTGCCAACTCCCCTGGGGCAGAGCCCTCTGGCTGCAAAGCAGAAGTGTATGGTCAGCGCAGGTCTGTCCCCACCATGTCCCCCCAGCCCTGCACCACTCACCTGTGTGACAGTGTAGAGAGGGGCCTCAGGCTCACACTGCCCACCCCGGCGCTGGCACAGGGCTGCGCTGAAGGCCGCGGGGATGCGGGAGCTGAGGTGCAGGCGCAGCTGCAGCCCCCAGACACTCACTGAGACGTTCCAGGTGGTCTCTGTGGCCACCAGAGAGAGAGAGGAGGTTGCAAGAATGCGCAATGGGATGAGGAGTGTGAGGGACCTCAGTGAGGGCTGTGCTCAGCTCAGGGGTGCCTTCTGCCTGTGGGGCTCACCTGGCCGGTGGGGACACTCCACATGGCTGCTGTTCCCATAGAAGAACTGAGGGATCAGCAGAAAGAGTGGGTGAGCTGCCATTGCCTACCACAGCCCCCCAATCCCTTCCCAGGTGGTGCCCACCCACCCACAGGGGCTTACTCGGAAGCAGAGCTGGGGGTGCACGTCCACCTTGTCCAGTGTGTAAACCTGGAATGTGCAAAGTGTGCGTCACTGTCACCATCCTTGATCCACGCAGTCTACAGACACCTCAGTGCTCACCTGCTGCCCTCAGGGGACCGTGGGGTCCAGTGGGTGCCCCAGCCAGGGGCACGGTCCTGCATCCCATGACACCTTGGGACTAGGACCCCTCACCTGCTCCTCCTCGCTGGCTGTGGAGTTGGGGATGCTGTGGCAGGGTGCAGCTTCATCTGCTGCCTCCCTCCAGCACAGCGTGGCCTGTGGGTGCAGGGGGCAGCTGGCAGTCAGCGCCATTGCCATCTGGTCCTTGCTGCTGGCACTGTAGTCGTGGAAGCGCACCGAGGACCACAGCTCAGGGCCATCTGTGGGACACTGCATCAGTGGGCTGGGGATGCTGGGGGACACTCTTGGGACCCAGCTGCCCTCCCCACAGGCACTCACAGGCATCTGGTTGATCACGGAAGGGGCAGCGTTTGCTCCGCAGGCTGTCGTGGTGAAGGTAGGAGGCCTAGGGGAGCAGAGTGAGGAGCGGGGGGCAGGATGTGCCCCCGCTTCTCCTGTGAGGGCAGACAGGAGCTCCAGTGGCTGCAGGGGGAAGGTGACCCACCTCAATGCACAGGCAGGGCACCAGGAACTCATATGGCAGCGAAACGCGGTGGCCGCCTGGCACCCGCACCTGCAGCAAGGAGGGAGAATAAGCTGGTGGGGAGTGTGCCCTTCAGTCTGAGACGGGGATATTGGGGGCAGAGCCGTTACCTGCTGGTGGAAGGGCTGGGGCAGCTCCTCACACTCCAGGGCCAGCTGATGGCACAGCCGCACCATGAGGGCAGGACCCTTGGGCACCCACACCTCAATGGCCCGTGCCTCAGGGACCCACGCATGGGTGAAGACAGGCTCTGCAGAGTAGGCAGAGGGTCAGCTGGCACCAGTATCCCCCCAAGACATCCCCCGGGACCCTCCCATTCTCACCACGTGGCTCAGCGGTGACCAGGCGGCTGCGGTTGAGGGACAAGCCCCGGTCCGGGATGGTGCGGAGGGAGACGAGGACCTGCTGCCCACTCTCAGCTGGGAAGCAGTCGAACTGCACCTGCCA